GCCTGAGCCCTCTGTGGACCTTGCCTGCCTGAGTCCGCCAGGCTTCAGGGAGATGAGGCGTCTTGCCGTGGCGGAGGGGGGTGGAGCTGTCAAGGGTGCTCAGAACCCATTCCTGGGAGACCACCTTATAAGAATGATGAGGAAAAAGCCCTTTTCCGAGGGTCGGCTCGGTCCCCAGGGCAGAGGGGACAGCTGCCAGAGAGTCCCGGCCTGTGCTGCCACCTGCCAGCTCCCGAAGGAGCAGCGGTCCTGGGCCCTTGCTTGATCCTGGAGCAGCTCTGCGTCCCAGGAGGGTCCCGGCATCCAGGGAGGGTTCCTCCATCTTGGCAGTGCCCAGGAGCTCCCCAGAGGAGCTGCTGACACTTCCAGTGCCCTCAGCTCATGCAGGTGTCCAAACAATGGGAACCTGAGCCTCTGCCCCCACTCAGCCTTCTCCTTCCACAGGACATTGGCCTTGCGTCCTTAGGGGCATCAGATGAGGAAATTGAGAAGCTGTCCACGGTGGGTTCCTTCCTCTGCAGGGCCCTGGGGGGTGTGGGTTCAGGAACCCTGGGTTCCAGCCAGGCCCTCCTGCACGGGCTGAGGTCTCTGCTTCTGTCCAGGGAGGGTCACCACCACACTGTGACCCCCGGAGCCCAGAAGGCTCTGCCTGGGTGGGGGTGCCCCATGGCCACAGCTGGGTGCAGCTGGTTCTCACTGGCCTGCCGGCTCTCCCCAGCTATACTGGTTCACGGTGGAGTTTGGGCTGTGCAAGCAGAATGGCCAGGTGAAGGCCTACGGTGCCGGGCTGCTGTCCTCCTACGGGGAGCTCCTGGTGAGGCCAGGCCCCCATCCCCAGCCTCTCAGGGGGGTTACCCTGGCAGTGCCTTCTGGATTTGGGCCTCCCGGGAGGCTGAGCAAGGGCCCACCCCACTGGGGCGGAGGGGAAATCTTGTCTCTGCCCATCCCACCCACACTGTCCCCAGGCAGGACCCCGGGAGGGGTTAGTGAGCCCACACCCAGAGCCCACCATGGAATCAGGCCTCGGCACTCTGCCTCTGGGGGCCCAAGGCCTGGGGGTCCTGTGACCTGATGGCCCCCCTCCAGCACGCCCTGTCTGCGGAGCCTGAGGTCCGGGCCTTCGACCCTGATGAGGCAGCCGTGCAGCCCTACCAGGACCAGACTTACCAGTCGGTCTACTTCATGTCCGAGAGTTTCAGCGATGCCAGGGACAAGTTCAGGTGGGCTGGGGCCCCAGGGCCAAGACCCCCACTGCACCTCCAGACTGTGTGAACCTGTGAACCCATTTCACAGAGGAAACTGTGAACACCTGGGTGACAACACCCATCCCCAGCAGGACCCTCCCAAAGGTTTGGGCAGGTAGAGACCTGCAGGGCTGGGGGCCTCATCAAAGCCAGGTCAATGTCAGGCTGTTAGGAGGCAGAGCTTGACCTTTGTAAGAAGTGGGTGTGGGGTCCTTCCCAGCCCTGTGCCCTCTGAACAACCTGGGCATGAGGTGGGCTGGTGGAGGAGGGCCTGGGGTGGTCCAGGGCAGAGTGGGACACCTGGAGGGAGTGGCGGGCTGGGACGTGGGGGGCCCACAGGGGGGGCCCCACCCCCTATCCCACCCCCCCACCCCACCCCCACCTGCATGTCCTTGGGAAGGATCTTATATTCCAGCCAGGCTGCTATTGTCACAGGGGAAACTGAGGCCCAGGGACTGTGTGCCCAGGATGGAGAGGGGGGTAGGGCAGGACCCCACACACGGTTTGGGACAGGGATGTAACTGGGGCTTTCCAGGGCACACAACCCAGGGAAGTCTTCCTGGAGGAGGAGACTGGAGCTGGACCCTGGGGAGGAGCGAGGGTTGGGGCACTGGGTGGGGCCCGCTTGGAAAGGCCTGTCTCCCCCATCACAGCGCTGGGAGGAGGCCTCAGTGCCCATCCTGCCTGCGTGCTTGCGCAGGAGTTTCCAGGGCCCAGCCAGCTCGGAAGGTCCTGGGGCCTCTGGGCAGCCTTGGCAGAGGAGACCCGGCCTCTGGCCTCCAGCCTCCATGGGGGCCGCAGACCCTGCCCTGGCTGCCCAGGTCCTCCCTGCCTCCCCAGGGCCCTCCGGGTCCCCACTGCACCCCTGAGGATCTGTGCCGCTCCCTCCTCAGGGGCTATGTCTCCCGCATCCAGCGTCCCTTCTCTGTGAAGTTTGACCCATACACGCTGGCCATTGACGTGCTGGACAGTCCCCACACGATCCAGCACTCGCTAGAGGGTGTCCAGGACGAGCTGCAGACCCTCACCCAGGCGCTGAGCGCCATCAGCTAGGTGCAGTGGGCGCAGCCCTGGGGGCCCCGGTGGGAGGCCCTGGGGTATCCCTGCCCTGCACAGCTCCCCAGCCCCTGCCTGCCCACAGAGGGCTGGGGCCCAGGGTGCCCCAAGAGCCGGCCAGAGAGCCACCCTGCCGGAGGGTGCCTGCCACCCCCACCGCTGCTGCTGCTCAGTTCTGCCCGCCAGTGTCTGTGCCCTGCTGCGCTGCCCATGGCCACCATCGCAATAAAAGAATCCCTCTGAGATGCTGCCTGGCCTCTGCTCCTGTGTGCCCCACTCAGGGCCGCCTGCCCCACAGCCCTGGCCCCTCATGTCTGCTTTCCCCTCTGTTTCCCCCTTGTGGGAGACCCCAGGGGGCAGCTCCTGCCAGACAGGAGGCCCCTCTGAGCCTGGATGCCCTGTGCCCCTGAGAACCAGCGTGCATTGAGCCCCCAGAAGCTCTGAGGTGGGGGCCTGGCAGGTGGAAGCCCTAGCTGGGGCTGGGTGGTGGGGGCAGGGCCCAGAGCTATGACAGCTGGGGGGTGTCTCCGGGCAGGGCCGCAGGCTGGGCCCTCCCTGAAACCCAGTGTCCCCACGAGGAGGAGGATAGAGCTCTAGGGGGACAGGCCATGATAGCATGTGGAGGAGTGGGGGCCTGAGAGACAGCTGCCTCTGATCCCTGCACCCCACTCCACCCTGAGCAGGGCCTGGGAGTGGTTCCCTGACATGTGTGCTCACGGAGGTTCAGCAAAGCTGGTTTCCAGACCACCTCTCTGGGCCTTAGTGTCCTCAGCAAGGCGGGTGGGGAGCTGGAATCTGGGTGCTGCAAGAGGCCCCCAGAACCCTCGAGGGGTCTGGACATGATCCTCCAGCTAGAGCCCTGGAATCCTCCAGGCCTGGCCCAGCCCAGGGATCCCCTTTCCCACCTTGCCCCTTGGAGAGGGCAGCCTGGGGCTTCCTGGGAGGTGCCTGGCTCCTTAGCTCCTACAGGATCGGGGGGACTCCAGCCGGTCTTCCAGGCGCTGCTCACTCCCTCCAGCCACCTCGCCAGGGCCCTGGCTCTAGGCTCTCAGGATGTCAGTCCTGACAAACTCCTACTCATCTGTCAGGACCCTCGTGGGCAAAGCCTTCTTCCCCAGCCCCCACTGGCAGTCTGTTCCCCCATCACCTATGCCTCAGCTACCTTTTCTAAGCCCAGCCCTCCAGGGCCCACATCCCTTCTGCCCCTGAAACCCCAACTAGGGCTGTTTCTGGTGGCTGTGAGCTTCACTGAGGCCCTGTGGAAGGGCTGGCTGCTGGCCTCACCTTCTGGCCTTACGGACCCCTGGGTTCTGTCCTCACCTGAGCACCCCTCCAGTCTGGCCTCCTGCCCCACACACCCCTCTCAAGAGACCCCGAAGTCTTCCCTGGGGTTGAGAAGAGACTTCAGAGGGACTACAGGGCTTTGTGGCAGCCTGGGGTGCCCACAGCATGAACTACCAGAGCACAGCCCAGGCTGGAAGAGCCACAGGGAGACACCCCAGGAGAGCTGGCACCCGCTCTCCTCAGAACCCCGCCCAGGGGAAGCCTGAGTTCAGGGCAGGTGGGCCTGGCCCTGAGTGGTCCCATGGCTCCAGGACAGCACCTGGGCCGAGGCTCTTGGCTTCCTGGCTGGGGTCAGGTCCGTGCTGAAGCCAGGGCACAGGACTCCCCGGCTGCTCCTGCCCTGGGGCTGCAGCGAGATCGGGGGAGGCAGAGCTCGCCCTTTCCTCCTACCTCTGACCAAGAGGGGCTCAGGGGCGGCAGGGCCAGGGAACTGGGCCCCTGTCCAGGCAGCTGGGGACACCACAGGGGATCGGCCCATATGACAGCTGAGGAGGGCTATGGTGGGGCCGGGTCTGGGAGAGGTCAGCACCCGGGAGATGGGCATGGGTGGGGGTGCCATGGGGCACCTGGGCAGGACATGGTTGGGGCCACGTCCACATAGAGGGGTCTGCCATCCCCACATTGAAGGTGATGGCCGCATGGCCAGCAGCCCCAACGTTGGTCCTCCGTGCTGCAGCCCTGAGGCTGGGGTCTCAGCGGGTGCGGCGGGGTGTGGCCGTGAGCAGGGGCCAAGCTTCCTCTCATGCCCCCCACCCCATGGCCTTGGACCATCTGTGGGCCTTGAGGGTGACAGAAGTCGGGACCATGGAGGGAAAGCCACCCCTCCCTGGTGTAATGTGGAAAATGCGGCGCAGACAAGGCCCCTGGGGCTTGGGGCTGGGGAGGCAATTGCCCCCAGCTGCGAGTGGGGCGTGCAGGCCACCGGCTCCTCATTAATGCTCTAATGACCCCGTGGCCCCAAGAGGTGCTGACGGCCGAGGAGATGTTCCTGCGGGCCTTCACGGGGGAAATGATCCAGAAATTGCAGGCTCAGCCCCCGGCCATCTGCCACCCCCGGTGGTCAGGTGGGGGGCTATAAAGCCAGCAGGGCCCCACAGCCCCCAGCCCTGCAGAACCAGCTGCATTTCGAGGCCACAGTCAGCACGCAGGTTTGTCCGGGGGGCTTCACATCAGCCTGGGGCTGGGGCTGCCCGCTAGGGGTTCAAGGGCATCTGGACCCCAGACGCCACCTCTCAAGGACAGAAGAATGTGGGCTCCTTAGAGCATCTGGGGGTGAGCACAGGGTGGGGGACCTGGGCGGGGCACGTGTCCCTTGGCGCTTAACCCTGTGAGTCCCCCAGGTCTCTGACCCCTGCCATGGCCCTGTGGATGCGCCTGCTGCCCCTGCTGGCTCTGCTGGCCCTCTGGGCGCCTGCTCCGACCCAGGCCTTTGTGAACCAGCACCTGTGTGGCTCCCACCTGGTGGAGGCTCTGTACCTGGTATGCGGGGAACGTGGCTTCTTCTACACACCCAAGGCTCGCCGGGAGGCTGAGGACCCGCAGGGTGAGCCCCGCCATCTCCCTGTGCCCACGCTGCTCCCTAGCTGGCACCAGGGGGCGTTGGGCGGGAGTTTCAGGACAGTGACCACCCCCCATCACATCCTAAACATGACATGTGCCCTGGTCAGTGCCGGGCACCAAAGGCCCCTGTCCCATTCCTGCTGGGGCCCTGCTCTGGGCAGATGCAACCACGCGGGGCTCTCCTGGAGTGGAGAGGGCACGGCAGGTGGGGATGGGGCAGGCAGGGACGCCGCCCCTGATGGCCCCTGCCTCTCTCTCCTGCAGTGGGCGAGGTGGAGCTGGGCGGCCTGCAACCCCTGGCCCTGGAGGGGCCCCTGCATAAGCGTGGCATCGTGGAGCAGTGCTGCACCAGCATCTGCTCTCTCTACCAGCTGGAGAACTACTGCAACTAGGGCGCCCTTGGTCCCCCGTGACCCAATAAACCCCTCGGATGAGCCTTGGTCGTGTGTCTGTGCAGCGGCATGGTGGCCAAGGTGCTGGCTGGGGAGGGAGCTGGACAAGGTCGGTCGGGCGTTTGCTGGCCCACCTGGTGGTCATGAGGCTCCTGTCGGGAGACCCCCTTTCTGTTCTGTCTCACAGGCCCCTCCAAACTTTCCCCATGCTCACTGGGTGCCACAGGCATGCGGGCAGCCTGGACCCAGGGCACATGGCAGAGACCCCTAGGTGACAGGCTGCTGTCAGCTGCCCGCTGACCCTGCCCTGGGCACTGAGAGCCTCTACAGACTTGGCTGCTCCAGGACTGGACAGAGAAGGGCTGTGGGGGTCTCTATGATGCTGGGGAACTGGAGGGCTGGCTGACACCCCTAGCTCACAAGCCCTCGGCTCTCAGAGTCCCAAGAGAGCTTTTCAAGGTGAGGGAATGAGAACATCCCAGCAATTGCCCCACCCAGCCAAGCGAGCCTCTGCTTTTAGGGCTGTTTCAGATGGAGGCCCTGCGGAGTGAAGTGGCTGGTCAGGGGGAGGGGACACAGAGGGCATGAGAGGCTGCCCGAGTCTGGGCCTCTCTCAGTCCCCCCACCATGCCCAGCTCTGGGTGTGCCCAGCTGCGGCCCCCAGCCGAGATCCAGCCACAGGAACCCACCAATGCCCTGGAGGAATTGGGGGGCCAGACGGCCCCCGCAAGCTGGGGGACAGACTCCGCAGGTTGCAGGCACTGGGCAGGGGCCCTAGACCCAGCCCTTGGGGGCCCTGGCTACGTCCCTGCTGAGGACTACAGCTCGTGGTCCTGGGACCAGGACCACATCTCCCCATAGCACTGCCCTCCGGCTCTGAGCCCCCAGACCTGGCGTTTATCCCAAGTGCCGTCCGGGCCTGAGGACAAGGTCCCTTGAGGGTCTAGGTCTTCAGGCCTCCTGACACTTCTCCTCTTCAGCGCCCTCTACAGCCCAAGGTGCTCCACTGGGCACCCTGCCTAGGCCGCCACCGGGCATGCCAGAGAGCCTGGGGGCTGCCTGGGCTGGCTGTGTAGCCTGGGAGGTCAGCGGGTGACCTGGCCTGGCCAGCCTGCTGGCTCCCCAGGCCAAACCAATCCACACCTTCCCTGAAGGCTCCACCCGGCCGGTCCTGGGCTTGGGTGCCTGGGCTCCCTGTGGCTGCAGACCATTTGGAGGCTGGTCTTGGAGCCAGAAGCAGCTCCCTCCCAGGCTGCCCCTCTACACGACCATGTTGACACCCCCAGAGATGTCACGGGTCCCCAGCTAGCCCCGCCCCTGGAGTGGGGGCCAGGGATGGGCAGGTGGGTGGACAGCTGGACACTGGACCCGGAAGAAGAGGGGAGGAGGTGGCTGGGACCAACGAGAAGCTGCCTCTGGGAACACCCAGGTGGCCCTTTTGCAGAGGCAGAGACGGGCATCTTACTGGAGTTGAGGTATGCGAGAGCCCATGGGTCGGGCATGGCTGGGCCCGGAAAGTGGACAGGCTGGGGCCAGGCTGCCAAGGTGACACCAGACGGTCAAGCCTATGTCCTGGCTGGCCTTGCCAACCAGCAAGATCCTAGGGGATGGCCCAGATGTTTCCCTTCCCCCTCAGGTGCCAGCAGACTTTGTGGAAGGGGGAGAAGGAGCCCTTGGGGCCCAGGGGCACATGGGACCATCCCAGTGGGCAGGACTCACAATGTGGCCCACCCCAGGTGGTGCTGGGGGGCTCAGGGGCACTATTCAAGGACTGCATTCCCCGGGGGTCCTTAAGAGAGGGGTTACACCCACAGAGGGTGGAAGGCTGCCCACCCAAGAGACTCATCCCTGTGTGCCTGGGCTGGGGCCTCTCCCTCCTGAGACCTGCCTCGGCCCTGAGACCCAGGACCCTCCACTCAAGCCTCTCCTGCCGGCCCCTTGGCCCCCGTGGCTGTGCTGCTAGAAAGGTGGAGTGTGGAGCTCTCCATACCCCAGGACGGAGGGGGTCACAGAAGTGGGAGAAGTGGCTGCCCAAGGTTCAGGGGCCCAGGTAGCAGAGGTGGTATCAGACCCAATGTTCCAGTTGGCATCGGTGGTTTGCCTGCTTCCTGGGGCCTCTAGGTCATCCCATGGAAGCAGGGCCCACAGACCCTGGCCCTGCCCTCCCTGCCTCGGACATGCTCCGCCCCTTCTGGGAACTGGGAGGACAGTCTCCCGACCTCAGACCCCGCCTGCCCTTGGAACCTGGGGTTGGCACCAGCAGTCCGCTGCATCCAGCCCTAGGGGTCACCCTGGCGTGGAGGGTGGGGGCCCAAGTGCCCCCCAGCCAGGGAAGCCAGAGGTGGAGGAGCAGATACTTAGGAAGGCCCCCTGACCCTCCCTGGGGGGCCAGGGTCTCCCTGGGGACACCCCCAAACATGTCCCACAGCATGCCCCTGCTCACTTGTCCTTGTGTCTCTTCTGGGTCCCAGCGTCGCATGTGCCATGCAGGCTGGGGACTGAGGCTGGAGCCAGGAAGTTAGTCCCTCTGGTGTCCATCCCCTGAGGAGGCTCTGCCTCTAGGCTGGCCCGCCGAGCTGCCCCTGCTCCTGGGATGGATGGGCTGGCCTTTCCGCCTGGCCCTTGGGGCAGTATTTGCGCTCTCCTTTCGGCAGTAAATACTTACCACCCTCACCGCTCTCCAGGCCAGAGCAGACCCTGAGGGACATGGGAGGTGGACTCGGGCATGCTGGGTAGGCCTCCTTCCCTAGAGGGCCAGGTGCCTGGCAGGGGCCCACCCAGGAGAGGGAGCGAGACTAGGAACCAGGGACCGAGTTGGAAAAGGACCCCTGGCAGAGCCCAGGCTGAGACCCGGCTGCTGTCTGTGTCCAGTCAGGTTGCAAGTGGGGACACTTGTGCCCCGACTTGGGAGGCCTGCCCCCAGACCCAGGCAGGGGTTCCCCCCCACCCCGTGTAGGCGGCTTTGCTGGGCAGGCACCTGTCCTCCTGGCAAGGTGGCTGGAATGGCCATTTGCAGATGTAACCAGCAGAGGGCGCCAAAGCTCCACTTCTGATGCTCTTTCCTTTGCTGGGGTCCGCTGTCCTGGCCCCTGTGCAGGGGTCTCCCATCCTCCTCCCCTGCAGCCTCCTGCCAGCCCTCACAGGGGCAGCTTCAGGGGGTGTCAAATGGGCTGGCCGCCCTGGACACCGGAGGCCTTGGGGTTTAGGAAGGAGAGATGGTGGCCAAGTTCTCTGCACCCCCATAACCTACCCCACATAAAGCCCCCACCCAGCCTCTCTGGTCCAGGCTTCCCTGGGGAGCAGCTGGATATATGTGCTGGGTCCCCAGTGACTTGGGAAAGTCTCCACTGTGGCGACTTGGGGTGGGAGGTCCTTGGGGGTGACTTTCTCCACCCTGTGTGTGGAGGAGCAGACCAGGCCAGAGGTGCATCTACTGCAGGCGTCCCCGAGGGTTGCCAGGGCCCCGGAGGACCTGCTGGCTGCGTCGTCACTGTCGGGCCAGGTGGCCCCTTGCTGTGCTTGTACCCACAGGCTCTGTGAGGCAGGGGCTTCAGGGCTGGGGGCCCAGGAGGTCTCAGGCGAGGCCCAGCTGGGTCAGATGTTAGCTCTTCCCCATATCCACCCCGTGTCCCGTCCCAGTGCTGAGAGGTCAATTCCAGCAAGAATGTTTTGGGGTAGGGGCTGGACAGGGGCTGGGGAGGGCGGATACCAAACAGGGTGGTGGGGGCACTGACCCGCTCCCTCCGGCACTATTGTTTTTTGTCTCTGCACAGGGACATGAGGCAGATTCCTTCGAAAGTGGGATATGAGGCGCCTCGGTGCTCCCCCTGCGGCCCGCTCGGGCTGTGATGGCGCCAAGCGCTGCAGGTCCCCCGTCCCTCAGGTCCTCAGCCCCCCACCCCCCACTCCCAGGTGGCCCAGCAGCCCCCAGCCTCAGCCCGGTGTCCCTCTGCTGCCGGTGGCTGGGGGGGTCCCATCCGGGGGGGTCCCATCCCTGACCTGCAGATCCCTGCGACAGTCTCCATGGCTCCAAAGAGGGGACCCTGAGGCTACCCCCAAAAGCTGAGCTTGAGGCTGTATGCAAGGGTCCCCCCACAGTCCCTAACCTCCAAGGCAGCGGGCTGAGATGCAGGGTCTGGGCCCCAGGCCCGTGGCTGCATGCGGTTGGAGTTCCTCAGGCCAGGCGTGGCAGTGCCTGTCTGGCTCCCCGCACTCAGAGGTGCTCAGAAGGTTTACACACAGGAGGCTGAGCCTTGGGTCAGTGTTACAGGAACCCTGGGGGCTGGCCTGAGCCTCACCGCCATGCCCAGGGGGCTCCCCTATGAGGGCCTGCTCCCGGCCATGCCGGGCTCTGCACTTTGCCAGGGAGGAAGATGGGTCTCAAGGTCCCAGCCAGGGGCCCCGAAGCCCGGGGCTTCCGGGGTGGCCCCACTCCCCCAGCCGCAGGAGGGCAGGCTGCTGAGTCATCAGAACCTGGGGTGGGGGCCGGGGGCACATTCCGCAGGCCTCACTTGCACTCCATTCCCAGCCCATCTGTGTTTTTGGAAAACAGAGCCGGCGCCCCCACAGCCCTGCCAGCTTGTGGCCGTTCACGCTGCGACTCAAAGCATCCTCTTCCGCTCTTCAAAGTCCACCCTGCCTCGGAGCTTGGCCCTGGCCCAGCCCATCCTCCTTCAGGGCCACCCTGCCTGCCCCTCCCACACTCAGATTCCCACCCCTCTCTGGGCCTCAGGTTCTGGGCTGTGAGGCAGACCCCCGTGGTGGCTGTGGATGGCAGGGGTGGAGCTGGGAGGGGATCTGGGGGGCTTCAGGGTAAACCTGAGGCTCTGAACCCGTGGCTCTGGCTGCCCTGTCCCCTCTGGATGTCCATGGCCCCCCTGGTTCTCTGTGGCCTTGCCTGGATCTGCCTGGCCCTCCCTGGCCCTTCTGACACTCCTTGGCCCTCCCTGACCCTCCTTGGCCCTCCCTGGCCCTCCATGGTGACCTCCTGAGGTCTGACATACTCAGCCTGTCCAAGGAAAGCTTCAAGGAGAGGGGTAGGGAGCAGGTGGAAGGCAGGCTTCCTCCCTCAAGGCATTAAAGATGGCTCTATTATTAGGCCACACTGTGGGTGCTTCCCCAACCCAAGCCCAGCTCTGGGGGAACAGAGGGGACAGAGCATCTAGGCTCCAGGCAAAGGAAAGGCCCTACCCAACTCAACTTGCACAGTCAGAACTCAAAGTAGATGGTAGGCTGGGAGGCTTCTTGGAGGAGGCGACTTGTGCCCTCACACAGGCACTTGACCTTGAGGATGAGTCTACATCAGGCTGTCACTTCTGGGGATGCAGAGTGAGCCAGGGATTGCTGGGGGTCAAGTTTGGCCAGTGACACCCTCCCTGAGCCACAGTGGCAGCTGTGTCCACAGAGAGCTGGTGTCACCAAGGCCCTTCCCCATGACCGTGCATGGGCTGGCCCTGGGAAAAGAAAGGACAGGCTGGGGTCTGGTTCCAAGGGTGCCTTGCCTCTCTTCACGCCCTGAGTGTATCGGTGCCAGCTGTGTGTCCACCCTAGGCCGGAACAGGGCTGAAGGGTGAGAGCTGGTGGGCCGGCTGGGCTGGGGCCTATGTCCTAACCAAAAGGGGGTCCCCGCCCTGGCTGCAGAGAGGGTCCAGTGTGGTGGTGCATGTGGGGGCCCCGGGCATGCGGCTGTGCAGTCAGCAGGTCCTGCTCCACCACACTTCCAGCTCCTTCCCAGCAGGACAGGCTGGTGGCCTCAGATGTCACCACGTCGCTGTCATTGCACGAAGCACCTTCGGCTCTCCTGGGCCAGGTGCAGAGGGAGCTGCTGTGGGAGGCTGAGGGTGGGCTGTGGGCCTTGGGCGGCCTGTCCCTGCCCTATTGCTCCTGGCTTTGTGTCTCCAGCAAGCGGTGTCCCTCTCCAGTCCTTAGTGCCATTGGGGCAGCACTGCGGGTCTGCTCTCCTGTGGACATCGCAGGCAGGAGATCCCCGAGGTGTCTTCTGTGGGAGCAGAGCAGTCCCCCGGCTACCAGGTGTGGCCCACAGGCTCCTCAGGGAAGCGGGCCCAAGCTCGGGGTTGTGGCGGGCTCGCACAGTGTGGAATGGGTGGAAAGGAGAACGAGGCTGGCTGAGAGGAGGGGCAGAGACAGGGCTGCAAGGCTGAAGCATCACCTGGGGACTCCTGGGGGCCCCAGGCCCCTCGCCGGGGAGATGTCTCCGCAGCTCTCTGAACCCCAGCCAACCCCAGCCCCCAGCTCCAGAGCCCCCTCTGGTGTCAACTGCTACCTGGGGGGATGGAAGCCTCTGCAGGGAGGTGTCCCAGGGCAGCCAGGCCTGAGGCTGAGCCACCAACCCTCCAGGCTGCCTTTCCACATGGCTCCAGGGAAGAACATTCCAGTAGCAACAGTTAGGGAAGTCAGGGGCAAACACACCCTCACACCAGAACCCAGTAACAAGCATTTGTTAGCATTTAGGCACAGCCCAGCACTGACCCACTGGCCTCCACGCACCAGGACCAGCCCCTGAGGTCCGAGAGGTGTGGGGGCCCGGGGGTGAACGGCAGCCCAGGGCCAGCAACAGAGCCAGGCTTTGAACAGAGTCAGCCTCCAGGCTCCCTGCCCATACTCGCCCTCTGACCCGCCAGACGCACAACTGTGTGAGCTCCACAGCGTGGCCCTCGCCACGTGGCCTTGCCGCCTTCGAGGCTATCTGCTGCCCGTGCTGGTCTCAGCCTGGCTGGTCTGGCTGCCCACATGGAGGCAGCTGGACCCCATGGCACCTGATGGTGTGAGGCTCTTGGGACAGGTCTTGTGGGTTCAGGACAGGGGCTCAGGCTTATGTCCCCCTCTTCTCTCAACTCCCAGATAGGGTGAAGTGGCCTGGTTCTTAGCCTGGTGGCAATGTTGACTTAAGGAAACCTGGTGCTTTCTGAGGCTGTGGCTGCACTTCTCCAAGTGGCCACAGGGTGCCAGGCTCTGGCCAGATTTGAAAACCCTGGTGGGGCGTGAACTAGAATGTGGTCAGCCCACCTCTGCTCCTCTCAGAGCCCCTGCCTCAGGACAGGGGTCCCAACATTCTGCCTGGAGCCTTTCTGTAATAATCTGATTCTATTCTGATGCAAATATAACACACAGAGCACAATGGATGCTACAAGCAGGCGTCCCAGGTTTAACCTGCAGCTTTGGGCATCTACCTGGCCATGTACCCCTGGAGTTGGGTAGGCCCCAAAGACAGGAATTCCCTTAAGCCTCCCTCCACCACCTGTTCTGAGGTGCCAGGATAGAGGCAGATAAGAGCCTGAGATCTGAGCACAAAGGTGTAGAGCCCACCTGCACCCTGACTCTGCGGTGGGGGGGTCAGCAATGTTGTTTTGACCTATCTTCTCCCCAGCTGCCCCAAACTGCAAGGCCCAAGACCTCCGGGTTGTGCTTCTGTAATTCCAGAAGTGGCCACCAGGTGTCAGCATGAGGCCACTTAACCAGCCAGTGGAGGAAACCCGGGCTGGGGTGTCTGGGGGCACTCAAATAGTCTCCTGCATAAAGGGAGACCCCCCTGAACTCCAGGGCTGAAGGCCCTCTCCCGGGTCTAAGAGACAGTGCTGTTAACGAGGTTTTAGTTATGAGGTATCCTTGCATCCAAAATCTGTTCCTTTTGTGTTTCCTCCATCAGCCATGTGCCCCCCAACTGTGGAAGATAAATGGGATGCAGTGCTGAGGTCCATAGCCCTCAGCCACCTCACTGACCCCCATGCCTCAGTCCTGCCTCCGTCCATGTGTCCTCCCCTCCCCTTGCCTAAACTCTCTGGGTTCCAAGATTCTGGTGGACTGAAATAGCCCCACATGGCTCCCTTTTGGACCAGGCTGAGAGGGCAATACAGACTCAAGATGCCTCAAGAAATGTCTCCACATTTTCATTTTGGTCTGTGGGTGTGAAAGGCTGCTTCCTTTTCAGCTCCTTAGCCACCCACCTTCTCAATCTGGGGACATCCCTTTGGTCAAGGGTCCCCCATGGAACAGGTATCTCTGGCTTGAGGTCAGCCCTTTACCCTCCCCTGTGGCTTGGGAAGTCCCAGCCAAGTCACCCCATAGAGACCTAGTCTCTTGCAACTTGCAGCAGACACCAGGGGGGTCCCACAGCCTGCAGAGCCGCCAAACCACAGAGCCCACAGCAGAGCCAGAGCTCGCATGAGCAGGTGACTGCTGCACTCCAAGAATTGTGCGTTGCTTCATATGATGCCCCTCTTGTGCCTGGGCATGACTCTGGGCCTCTAGCATCTCTGCATCCCTCCCCACCCAAGAGCCCAGTGAACAGCCCTCCTCCCGTGGGGTACTGTGGCTCCAGGGCATGTGCATCCTGTTTGGGACACCCCCACCAGATCCGAGTCCCCCTCAAGTCTGACTCTGCTGCCCTCCAAAGCCCTGTTCTCCCCACTGGGATGATTTGTCCCTCTAAAGAAAGAATTCAGGGGGGAGCTTGAGGGACAAAGAAAGAGGGAGAATTAAATTCCTAGCAAGCTGGCATCTGAGTCAGGTGGACACGCTGGGCTGCAGGGGAACAGGGAGGTAGGACTGCTGGCCTTCTGGGAAGTGCACATATCTTCGTTAGCCTTTGCTCCACTGCCCGCTCTCCCTGCAGGCTCAGGGAAGAGCTTTACATTCCCAGTGAGGTTCGGCCCAATCAGGCCGCATTTCTACCTGGGCCCTCCCCTCGATGCTGACAGTCCTGCCTTAGTGGGAGACTGAACCAGGCTCCAAAAGCTGTGGATACTGGCAGCAGTATCCTTGGTGCCTAGCACCACACACATAGTACAGGGGCCCCATCAGATGTGGCTGTGAAGGGGGAAAACTCCCTGCCCCTAACGGGATAGAGGCTACGACTACACTGCATTGTAACTGTGTTGGGAGCACTTGAAGAAAGATTTCTCTGACTGTTCTTGAACCCTGCTTCTTTCCCCTTACCTCCCATCCCCTGCCCATTTTAACCGTGCCACGCCCAACGGCCTTCCAGGGTATGAAGCGATGGCCAAGGGTCAAGCCAGTGAAGCCGGGCCCACGCCCCACCCCCTCCACGCAACCCCACCTCCGAGCTGGCAGGGAGCGCTTCCCGCTGATGCCCATGCACACAGGCGCCTCTCTGCTGGGTCAGGGGTGGGCCGAATTCCCATGCCCTAATGCACGGTGCCCTGCGCAGCCAGCTGTCCCAGCACCACTAAGTTGGCCCAAAATTGGAGGGGCTTGAGGAGAGGCTTGGTGGGCACGAGGAGGCAAGAGGGCAAAGTGTAATTTCAGTTGGCATTTGAGCAGGCGCCCTGCCCAGTGGTGGAGAGGCTCTCCCTCTTCTAGGAGCCCATTATCACGCACACCCTGAACGTGCCCTTCGTCTTCTCTCCAGCCTCAGCCCCATGCCCCTCCTCCCCCTCCTCTGCACCAGCCTGGTTGGAGGGTCTGGGAACCGCGGCCAGTGCACCCCTGCTTTGACGGACTCTGCCTGTATTGCCCTGACCAGTGGATCACCGCAGTTTCGGCAGCCAGCCTTGTCCTCTTTATTGGCCAGTGACTCCCCAGTCCTCTTTATCCACTGCTGGGCGCTTCGGGGACCACGCAGCAATTAGAGTACAGGTATCTGGGCTTCCTTCATTCACGATGCTCCCTCTGAGTGCGTGAGAAAAGCCGAGTTCTCAGTGTTCAGGGGTCGGGGGGCAGCGAACAGAGAGTCTCTGCTGCTGCGAGGGAGGGGCCCAGGCCAGCTTCCTAAGTGCAGCTTCAGCTTTGGCGGGGACAGGGAAGACAAGTGGGGAGGGGGCACTTCTATAGGGCTGCAGAGTCACAGAGGCTTGGGATCCCCCAGGTGCAATGGGAGGGGTCGGGGTGTCGGGGGAGCTGCTCTTCTCAGCGGGCGAGCACAGGTGTTTTTGAAAATGTAAAAGGCAGGGTTTTTCTGTGACGTTTTCTCTTGCTGCATCGCCCCCATCTTCAGTCCCAACCAAAGACAAACAGGACACTGTACAGAGGGTCCATGGGCCCAAGATTTTGGAGCAGTTTTTTTAATACTGTTTTAAATGTAAAGCTTCCCTCCCCCCCCCCCCCCAACCTTCCAGACCAGCACCAAAGAATCCCACAAGTAACTGGAAAGGAGAGTGAGAAGGTCCAAGTGGGGCCAGTGCCCCTTGCTGCTCCGACAGCAGGACTGGGACGTCGCTGCTCTGTCCTGTGCGCCTGGCCCCATGCCCCTGCCTGCCTCCCCTGCCACAGAGCCCTGCGCCGGGCTGGGCAGCTTCTCTGGAGGGCATTAGGTCGCGCATGGAGCATCTCTCCCTTCACGCAGGGTCCCAGGCTCCTCTGTCTGTGGTATTGGTGGGGAGGGGGCTCATTTCCCCAGAGAGGCTCAGGCCGCCCCAACTCCAGCTGCTTTTCCAGTCCTGAGCTGCGGCCTTTGGTTTGTGCCTGCCCCGCCCCTTGCTTCCATCTGAGGTGGAGATGTTGGGGAGCAGAGGAGAGACTTCTTTATTGGGTACTGTGACCCCCTGAGGTAGGCTCCCCATGTGCAGACTCTATCCCCATGCCCAGGCAGAAGCCCACCCCAGCTAGGAAGAGGACAGCCTGTCCAACAGAGGGGTCCCTTGCCTGTCCATGGGCACCTTGGCTGCCAGCAAGCCCACTCCTAGGTGAGCCGTGCGCTGCCTCGTCCCTCTCCTGTGCTTTGAAACAGGGAGAGTCAGGCAGCCACCACCCTAAACTGACATGGTGACCTACAGGCTCTCTATGACAGAGCCAGGGGAGGAGGGGACCGGGACTCTGGCTTGGGAGAATTTGCTTCAAAATCCATCTCTTAGGAACACCTTTCTGTTACTCCCCAGGGCCGAAGAGTCCCTGCTGAGCTGGTGGAGAGGAGGTGGGTTCCAGCCCCCAGCTCCAGGGCTCTGCATCTCGCCCAGCTCGGCGCCCTGCTCAGCCTGTGCCCCAGCGGGAGCCGGAAAACCCAGCCCAGAGGTGAGCTGCCATGTCCCCCCATCCAGAGGTCCCCACCCCTTGGAGCCAAGCCCCACAGCCAGCCCCATCCCACAGAGGTGAGCGTCTCAGGATCCCCAGGGCAGGGCCGAGGTGTCCACGGCGGCAGCTACAGCTCTCCATGTGTCAGGCCTTCGGCTCTTAGAAGCCCCCCTTCCATGAGGAGTCAAGGCTGGGGGTGAGAGTTGGTGTGTCGGGGGGCAGGCCCATTGCAGAGTCCTGAAGCTGGTATCTGGGATTCCTGCTGCTGCTCTGGGGCCTCGCTCCTGGGGGGCTCAGCTGTGGGCACGGCAGGTTCCCTGCAGCCTGGACTTTCTGTGAGGTCCTTGGAGGGGAGCTCCTGGCAGAAGAAAGGCAGAAGGTGGGAGGGAGCAGCCAGAGAGAGCAGGGGTCAGGGCGAGGACATCACCGGGGTTAGCAGGAGACCCCCGAAGGCTGGGCTCCCCTGGGCACATGAAACCCACGTCCTCCCAGCCCCGGCTGCTGGCTGTGGGGCCTCGCACCAACGGCTGGCCTTGTCTGTGTCCCCATCATCCGCCTGGCTGCTGAGAACTCTGAGGGCCAAGTGAGGCAACGGCCAAAGGACACAGAGGCACCCTGAGCTTTGGGGGGGCCTTACAGGTGCCGGTGTCTTGGCCCCACTGTGTTAGGTGGCCCTGGGCTTCCTGGGGGTGGGAGTGGGGGTGGGGGGCCGCTAGAAAGGCCGGGGGTCCAGAGCTGCCCAGGACCCTTCTAGAACAAGCTCCTCGGTGGTAGCCGTACTGGTTCACTGGTCAGGTGCCGGGGTGGGGCACCAGGGAGATGCCCTGGATGAGCGATGCCCTCCAGGGGTAGTGGGAAACTCCGGAAGTGGGGACGGGGTGCGTCTGAGCCTTCTGCCTGACCCAAAAGCAACGGAGGCACCCTTCTGGCCTGCGGGGAGAGGCCCCGCGGGAGACCCCCTTACAGGCCAGTTTGCCCAGCCGAGAAGGATGTCTTTCCAAAGGTGTCTTCAGTGCAGACACTAAATACAGTAGGACAGTTGTGGTGACCCCTGGGTCCCTCCCAAGTGCACCTGGCCAGGCCCTCCCTGGCACTCCCACCCCAACCGGTACAAACTTTCTGTTCTGGGTGGTTCATCAGGGGATTGGGGTGCCTTGTGCCTTGGGTGGCTTGGGCCATTGGGTCCGGGCGGTTCCAGCAGGGCTGACCAGGAGCTAGTGGTCCAGGTCCACTTCACGGCCGCTGTGCCCGCCCTACAGGGCGAGGGAGGGGTGCTCAGAGGGCCCACGGAGGAGGGAGCTGTGTTTGTAAAATGATGGACTCGGCCCCAGGGAGTGGGGAGCGGCCAGCTCAGGGCCAGTGCCCTAAACCGGAGAGGGAGAAGGGCCCAGGGCAGGAAGTGAGGGAGTGGGGCGGAAGGCCAGGCGCAGGGGCCAGCTCACTGGGGCGAGTCCGGATCTCTGGGGAGATGACTGCTCTCTTTGGACGTGGGTTTCAGCAGCCAGAGGGGAGGCACTCACTCTGCCCCCGTGCTGGAGCAGGACTTGGGGAGGGTGGCACTGTGGCTGGTGTTCCTGCCAGCCAGGCCTGAGCAGAAGAGCCCCCAACATGCTGGGGCTGTGCAGGGCCCTTCCTTCCTACCCTGGGGGACTGGAAGTTAGGGAACCCTGGGCAGCCAGTGCCCCTTTGAGCCCCAGGGCAACCTGCATCTGCCCCCACCAAGCCTGCCCCTTTAGCCACACTTTTGACTAAATAAGGTGAGGGTTCAGCAGGCAGCCAGCAGGGAGGGAGAGCACGTTACCCAGCGCCCTCTCTGCTCAGCCTGGCACCCCAAGGTGGCCTCAGCCTTCTTACCTCCATGGTCCAGTCGCATCTTCAAGCACCGTGCAGAGGTTTCCCCAGAGTGGGCATGTGGGGGGGCAGAAAGCAGGAAAGGGGCATCCGGCTGGGCCTCTGGCGTGATTGCCCCCAGGCACCCCCACTGGGGGAAGGCCTGCACCCTGAGCTGGGGCTCTCCCCTCAGCGTCCGGCCCACCGCTGGCGGGGGAAGCAGGCCTGGAGGAAAGGTGGGAAGCAGAGCAGAGCCACGGGGAGCCCTGTACTTGTGCCGGTGCGCGGAGGCGCCCATCAAGGCTTTGCCAGCTGCTCTGGGCTCATGGGGGCCTGGGGTCCCCAGACAGTAAGTCTCAATGGTCCCCACCCCAAATTTATAAGTTGCTACGGAGAGAGAAGCGGCCTGAAGGCCCCCGAGGCGCACGGGCAGCAGCCTGAACGCTGGGGTGCAGGACTGAGAAGGCTGGTGGGGGGCCCCGGGTGTGAGGGGTGGGGGGAGACAGGCCAGATGTTCCTGGAATGGGACACGGGGGTGATTGGTGTGGACTGGAATTTGAAGGGGGAACATTCCCCGCGTGCTTTGGGCTCTGGGTGGAAAATGCTCCGCTTCTCATGGGGGTTGGGGGCTCCTGGGGGGCTCCTCTCGGTCTTGCCAAGCTAATGTGAAAGGGCTGCTTCAGCCTTGTCCGGTTCCCACACCGGTCTAACGGCATTAACCCCTGCGTTCCCAGAGTGCCAGGCTCTGAGCTGCCCCACTCTTCCTCGGGGGGTGACAGTGGGGACAAGAGGTGCCTACCATACTGGCCCCAGGATGCTCACCACTCCGCTGCCCCCGCCAGCAGTGTCTCTCTGGCAATCCTCCACCCTGCAGATACCCTGGGGTCACTGCACCCCACACCCAACATCGCCCAGTTCTGAGGGGTGCCCTTGTTCCCTCCAGCAGCGCTTTGCATCTGTGCGGGGTTCAGGCTTTGCCTTTAACGAGCTGGGCTTCCCAGCGCAGGGAGGGTCTGCGCAGAGTCTCTGAGGAGTCGAAAGGTGACCCCCGGTCCTGGGCCTGAAGCCCGGCCCCCATTTTCCTTCTCTTCGTCCCCATTCTCTCTCCTCTTCCGTATTTACCAAAACAACATTGGTTTCACCGTCGTTTGGGGACTGGCCAAGGCGCGAAGGGCGCTCTCGGAGCGCCGGGGCGCGCGGGGGCGGCCACCGGGGGTGCACCCCGGTCCCCAAGCCGCGCGGGGGACAAGCCTGCCCGCGGCGGCAGCCCGGCCGCGGCTTCGCCTAGGCTCGCGGCGCGGGAGCGAGTGGGGCGCGGCGGCGGGGAGCCCGCGGGCGGCAGGCGAGGCGGCCGGGAGGCTCTGGGTCCTTCCCTTCCGCCCGACGCCCGCGAGGCCGGGCTGGTGCCACACCAGCGCTCTCCGTGGCGAGAAGGCGCAAGGAAGGGCAGCAACATTCTTCCCGGCGCGCGCCCAGGAAGCCGGGCGCCACCTGCCCGCGCTGTCCCCTGCGGAGGGCGCCCCTGCTCCGCGCGCCGGTCCCCGGACGGTGGCAGCTCCCCGCCGGCCGGAAGCTCGGTCTCCCAGCTGCAGCCCCCCGTCTCCGGGGTCCCCACCCACCCAACGACTGCCCTTCTCCCCCCACCCGCGGACAGGATTTTTTATAGGATCCCCCCCACGTTTAAGCTTTGCTTTTAGATCCTCCAAACACGTCATTTCTGCAGATCACAAAAATGTTCACACACACACACACACACACACACACACACACACACACACACACACACACACACACTCCAAGTCCTACAGATTTACACACTGCCAATCCCTATCCCCTGAAATTTAAACCTGAACCGGATCATGCTAGCCGATTGCCTGGCTCACCAGAATGCGGACCACGTTTTTCTGGCAGTTAGGCATTGGTCCCCAAACAAGTGTTTTCTTCTTTTTTCTTTTTTTCCCTTCTGATAATTCTGGACATTCAGCTCCTGCCTCCCAAGTTTCCTGTCCCCGAGCTGGTTCCCCAGCGCCCAAAGCCCTGTTCTCCTGGGGCACCACAGTTTGAGATGTTATTCATTTAGTGTCACGAATTTATTGCCTCCATCCTGTGTTCCCTAAAATTTACACAAAGACTCCCACGTGCCACAAACACACTAAGCAGTGTCCGGGGAATCCTGTTTGCACTTTGCTTCCCTGTGTCTTCCCAAAGTTTAGGCATTAGAGCCAAGGCACACCAAACCCTTCTCTGAATCAGAAACCGTTCACACTTTGATTTCCTGAGTCCGGCAAAATTGAGAGGTTGGCTTCTGATCCTCAAAACTCAGTGAGTATCTGTGTGTGGGGGGGGGGCGTGGAGGGAGCAGAGGAGGGGGCACAAAGATTTAGGCCATTCATTTCCAGGGCTCTGCAAGCTTCCAGACCACTAATCAGTTTCCTTAAAGTTTAGACACTGTTACCCAAGCGCCGGAAACACACTGAGGAATCACCGGAGCTGTGCTCAATTGTGGCTGTGAATCATGCAGGTTCTCCCAAATTGCACATGGTCTTCCAGGTCCCCCGCCGACCACACATCAGGCACAAAACGAACCCTTGCACAGAGCCTGTATCTTGTCAAACCAGGCTCTGTTGAGTGTCCACAGTAACCAAAAATTCTGAGCATTTTCTCTGTATCATAGCATTTTCAGTATTAAAAAATTCCCTGGGTCTGACTAGCTTACTAACAAGAACCCTGGTTGTCTAAAATTCAGACACTGCTCCCAAATCCCTGGAGGACACTGGACCCTTTTCCTGATCCCGTATATCTGGACATATTAGGCGTTCTCAAATATTAGGCACTGCACTTTGGGCCACCCAGACACATTCAGTTTTATCCTGGGGTTAGAGGAAAGCGCTGATTTCTTAGGTGCCCACTGAGCCACCCCAAATGTAGGCCATATTTCCTGGGGCTCCCACATCCCGCAAACTCCTTCCAGGCCCCATGACCTAGGAACTCTCAATGTGTTTTCTCTAAAATTTAAAACGTTGATCCCCACTTCTTCTGAGGACACTGAGCAATCTCTGAGTCTCCAGGTTCAAAAATTATTTTCCTGGGCCTCCAAACTGAGGTACTGTGTCTCCAAGCCCTCCAAAAAACAAAAACAACCGCCCCCCGCCGATTTTCTTGTTCCTCCACAAAACAATTGAGCTTTTGTGAACATTGATTTATAGGTCCCCTGATTTTATGACTCTTTCTGGAGTCCCTCTAAATTTAGGCAACTTTCTGTGGGTCCCCTAAAATGAAAATGTCCAGGGACTGGAAAATATCCCCAGTTCCTAGAAATTCCAGGCATTGTAAGCCTGTGTCCTACAAGCTTCCTGGATACTAAACCAGGGTCTCTGGAATTTAGATAACAATCTCCACTGGACAATTTACAAGGATTCTCCCAAACTTGGGCCATGTTTTACTAGAGCTACCCAAATGCAGGTAGTACCCAGGCAAACAGGTCTTTTTTTTTCCTGTTCAACAAAAATAAACTAACTGATAGCAGTTGAAAATTTAAAATATAAAAAGGACATTGATTTTTCTGTATTCTCCAAATGTGATCACACCCCAGGTCCCCCCAAATTCAGACAGTGCTTTTTGAGTTTCCCCCACTACCCCCGCAGCCACAACCATCATGGAAGCTACTACCTACGGGCGTCCATCCCTAACTTGCTTTTCTAAAGTGTGAAAATTAATCTCTACTTTCCTCCCCTCGGAAGAATTTGCCTAGATCCCCCAAATGTGTCCATTGTTATTCCCCCTTATGGGGACAATGTGCCTCTTGGGTCTCCCAAGTTTCATGTTGAGAATTTTCTGAGTCACCCAAAAGCCTATCTCCCCACTCGTTGATCTCGGGTTCCCTCCAGACTTGACGACCAGGATGCTGGGTCCCCCAAGTTTTAGAGCCGGGAGTACAGGGAGCAGTTTACTGTGACGCCCACCCCCCAACCTGAACTCTTTCTTGAGCCTCCATTTAGTTATCAGCCTTAGTGCTCCACGTCAGCGGATCCTCCCCTGAGTCTCCTACTTGGGGACACACATTCTCTCCGCCCGCAAATCAGAGCTCTGTCTTGTGGACGCGGATATCTGGGCAATTGCTCCTGGCCCGCCGGCGGCCCTCCGCACCTCCTCCAACCCTGTGCACAGCGGGCACCGGTTCCAGGCCTTTCGGGGTCTTCTACGAAGTTCCTCCCACGCCTCAGCTCCTCGGATTTGGGAACTTTCTCTCTGTTCCCCCAACACACTTGGCCCGGCAGCGTGTCCGCTAGGACGTGGGCAGTGCTTTTCCCGCGTCCAGGAGATCTGGGCATTGCCCCCAGATTCCTCCAAATTTGGGCATCGTCCCCGGGTCTTCCAAAGGACTGGGCGTTGCCCCCGGACATTGAGGACTGCCCCCCTGGGGTCTCGCTCACCTTCAGCAGCGTCCGCCGTCCGCCGCAGAGCTCTTGCTGGCTGCCTCAGCTCCCAGTGCGCCCGCAGACGCAGACTCCAGCCTGCGGTGAGCTCCCCGCCGCCTCCGCCGCCCGGCCCAGCTCCCTGCCCGCACACGCCGTGGTCCAGCCAGGGCTGGCGCTCTCCTCGGGCGGCCACCCAGGAGACCGGGGCGGGGCGCGGGAGCCCGTTGCGGGCATGCTCCTCGGTGGCCGCGCTCGCTGGGACCCGGCGCCCCGAAACCCGCGCCGCTTTCGTTTGCTCTTTGCAAAGACCACAACCGTGGGGAAAGCGTCTTGGCGGCTCCAAAGCTGGGTGGGCAGGGCGCTGGGCGGGGGGCGACGCCGTGGAGAGGTGCACCCCTTCGGGCGGTGCAGCGCCTCCAGCCCTCTGGGCAAGAAGACTCCGGGGGGCGCGCGTCGTGGGCGAGCGCAGGGGTTGATGGCGGAGTGAGGGGCGAGCCGGGTGCGGACTTCCCGCCGCCAGCATACTTTTCCCCTCGGAGAGGCGCGGGCGACCGGGTTTCCGGGGTGCGGGCGGGGCGTCGGGGCTTGTGCGTGGTTTGACTTGATAAAAATCGCTTCTCACATCGTCCAAACTCTCCAGGAGATGGTTTCCCCAGACCCCAAATTAACGTGGTGGTGGTCCCCGGGGCCGAACCCGAGTCTACGCAAGTCCAACGCACTGAGGACAGGGCAACCGCTCTCCGGATATCTTGGGGGGCCCCAAAGGAGAGCTGCTTAGACGCACCCGGGTCAGCTCGGTCATGCTCCCCACGCACCGCACCTGGAGGCCGCCGGGGCTACTCCCCGGCTCCCACGCGGCACCGGGGGGCGCTCGGGCTCCGGCTGCAGCTCCAGGCGCTGCGCCTGCTCGTGCAGGTGGCGGCTGCTCGCCCCTCCGCTCCAGGGACACCCTCCTAACCCGCACCTCCCAGCGGGACTCAGGGACCACGATCCATCGCGGAGCCACCTGTGCCCGAACTCCGACGGGGCGGCCCCGCCGCGTCTACCGCGTCGCGGCGCGGGGATCCCCTGTCGCCGCTAGGACTGGGACGCCACCCACCCTGCCCGCCGCGCGTCCTCCGAGAACCGCGCAGAAATCGCTGGTACCCCGGAATCCGAGCTGGGGCCCTGGACACTTAAGAATAGCGATTCGAGATTTCTTTCGAATTCTGCCGCTCCCCGCCCCCAACCGAGTCACGTCCCTGCGCACCGCACGGCCCCCCACCCCGGGCCCCCTGGGCCCGAGGCCCCCCGGGCCCGAGTGGCGGGGGCGGTCCGGGGGCGGGGCGAGGGCCCTGCAGGCGCCCATTGGCGCGGGCGCGCGGCCAGCGGGGCCCGAGCGGGCGCAGGCCGCGGGCTGGCTCCGCTATAAGAGCCGGGCGTTGGCGCCCGCGGTTCGCCTGCTCTCCGGCGGAGCTGCGTGAGACCAGGCCGGCCCCCGGCCCCCCCTTCCGGCCGCCCCCGCCTCTCGGCCCACGCCTGCCCGCTCGGCCCGCCAGCGCCTCCACCGGGCTGGCGGCCCCGCGTCGACGCCGTCCGCCGCCACGCTGCTGACTCCCGTCCTGGGCGCCGTCGGCGGGGCCGCGCTCCGCCGGGCCTGCGGATCCCCAGCCACCTCCTCCTCATCTACCTCAGCGCCCGTCCCGCTTCGCCCGAGGAGGCGGTCCCCCCCGCAGGCAGTCCGGCCCGCAGGCCGCCGGCGTTGTCATCCCCCGCGCTACCCCCAGCCCTCCCCGGTGCGCCGCCCCCGCTGCCCCCGCCCCCCGGGCCCGGGCTCGCGACGGCCGAGGGCTCCGTCGGCCCAGTTCGAGCGGGGCGCCCGCGGCCGGGGACTCTCCGCCCCGCCCCCGTCGCCACCGCCCCCGGCCCCCGACGTTGCGCCTTCGCTCTCCTCCCCGTGCGCCCTCTCCCGTCGCGGCCTCCGGCCCCGGCCCCACTCTCTTCCGCAACCTTCTCTCTGCCCCCTCCCGGCCCCCCGCCCCCGGCTCCCGGCCTCCGACTCCCTCCCCCTCCACGCCCGCCCTCTCGCCTTCGCCGTCCCGAAGTGGATTAATTATACGCTTTCTGTTTCTCTCCGCGCCGTTCTCTCCCGCTGCGCGCCCGCCCGCCCCTCGCTGTCCTCTCCCTTCCCCGCCCTCTCTTCGCCCCCCTTCACGTGCTCTCTGTCTCTCACTATCTCTGCCCCCCTCTATTCTTGATACAACAGCTGACCTCATTTCCCGATACCCTTTCCCCCCCTAAAAGTACAACATCTGGCCCGCCCCGGCCCTCAGACAGCCCGTCCTCCCCAAACAGACGAATTCCCACCCCCCAAAAAAGCCATCTCCCCGTTCTGCCCCGTCGCACATTCGGCCCCCGCGACTCGGCCAGAGCGGCGCTGGCAGAGGAGTGTCCGGCAGGAGGGCCAACGCCCGCTGTTCGGTTTGCCATACGCAGCAGGGAGGTGGGCGGCAGCTGCGCCGGCTTCCAGGTAAGCTGCTGCGGGTCGCCGCGCGGGGCGGCTGGGCCCGGGGTCGGCGGGTCGGTTTCCTTCCCGAGCTCTGCTCTGCGCCGCGGGTGGGGGTGGGTAGGGGCTCGGGAGGTGCCACGGGAGGTGTGAGTTGTCCGTAAAGGCGACTTCCTGGTCAGTTTGTGGGTGCCAGGGGCTGTTGCTGGAATTTTGTGCTGTGTGGGGGAGGGCTGTGTCCCCCAGGGTGCTGGGTAATGAGGAGGGGCGCAAGTCTGAGAAACCCACCCTGGTATGTTGACTTCGTGCCAGCAAGACAGAGAGGAAAACGGGGTGGGCGGGGCCGGGATGGAGCGAGGGGGGCCCAGCTGGCAAAAGGGTAAGACCAGAGGCCGCATTTGTAATGTGCCCCCCACCAGGGCCTCCCTTCCATGTCCCCAACATTTCCAACCAGTAATCTGGGGAGCAGGGCTGGTCTGTGGCTCAGAAGAACAGGGATGTACAGCCTAGAGCGGGCAGCTGCCCCTACCCCGGTGGGCAGATGGAAGTTTCCATAAAGGAGGGAGGAAAACGGCTCCCCTCTCGGCACCCCCATTTCCCTCAGATGGGCCGGGGGTGCAGGGTGAGCCCCCCTCCTGGCACTTGGCTAAGGACGGGCCAGGGCTGGAGCGCTGGGGGTTCAGGAGAGAAGAGGCTGGCTGGAGGGAGGTGGGGGGCGGGAGCGGGCGGGGGGCGTGGTCCGCAGGGGGAGGGGTGGGAGGCAGGGTGGGGCTGGGCTGGGAGGAGCCGGCCCAGGCATAAAAGCTGAGCCCTGACCGGCCAGCGAACTGGACATTAGCTTCTCCTGGGAGGCAGCCTTCTAGCCTCCTCCTCTCCAGCCGCAGCGAGCCTTCTGTCCAGCTGCAGGTAACCGGGGCTGTGCAGCGAGGGCCTCCCTGCCCTCCCGCTCCAGCCTGCCCCACTGCCCTGGCCTCTGGCCTCGGCTCCCCGGGCTCTCTGCCTCTGGCCCTCTCACCCTTGCCCACCCTCCCTGGGCGGCCTGCTCACCTGGCCTGCACCTCTGCATGCCTCTTGTCCAGTCTCTGCTTTCTGCTGGTGCCCTGGACTGGCCCCCTCACCAGAGTGGCCAGGCTTGAGGAAGGACGGAGCTGCCGCTCCGCCGGCGCCAAGTTGCTAGCTGGCCAAATGCGTTCTTAGCATTCGGAAGGGGACGGCAGTGGGGGCAGCAGGAGACGGGCCCGCGGTCCAGGCTGGGGCAGGAGGAGGGGACGGAGGAGACTTCTGAGGAGCTTAAGGAGGACTGGGCTTCCTTCTTGCTCCTCCTCAGCTCCTGCGTGATTTATTGCGTCCAAAATCCCCAGCAGCCCGGCTCCGGGCTGGGAAGGGCATGCTGCTTGGTGCCCTGTGCCCACTGGGTGCAGAGCCTGGGAGGGGCACACCTGGGCAGCCTGCCAGCCCCTGGCTGGGTAGCATCAGGGTGCCAATGGGCTCAGAGGCACCGAGCCATGACTGTCCCCCCAGAAGGAGCTTGTACATGGGCCTGCCGATGGCAGGCTGGGGCCAACTTGCCTGGGGGGCTTTCATGCTCTGGAGGGGCAGGGGTGGCTTGCTGTGTCTAAAGAGAAGCAGAGCCCCCCCCCAAGCTCCTCACCCCTTAAGAAACCTGGTTAACTCTTGCCCTGGGCCTGCAGGCACACAGCTGGTACAGGGGGGTGTGTCCTAAGATGTGAGCCTCTCCTTCAGTGTTGGGCCCTCAGGGACCTGGTGTCTGGCCTCCAGGTGGCCTGACCTGTTCTCTCCAGCTCCTGGGGTGGGGTTTGGTACCCCAATAGGAAGAGGGTCTAGTGAGGTCCCTGGCCCTGGGTGGTATGATGCAAGTCCTGGAAAGGTGGCTTCTGGCTTTTCTGTGTGTTTTGGGGTGCTGTGGGCAGACTGGAGTCAGGGTCCTGGGTGATTCAGGAGAACAAGACCCCTGGGAGTGTGGCTGGTACCACCACACTGACCACTGGATCTTTGACCTGAGCTCTGCTCTGCCACAGACTGGGAGGATGGCAAAGGCAGTGGGGTAGGGAAGGGGCAGGGCTGGCCCGACAGGACCCTCTGCTGCTTTGGGGGCCGGTCCTCCTGGACACCCCTGTGCAACTGGTCCTCTGGGGTGCACATGCTCTGTGGTGGGGCGAGGCTGTCTGCCATCTTGGCTGGTGCTGGGAGGTCCAACGTGTGGCCGCTGCCCTGTGCTGACCCCACCCCCATGACATCATAGGATGGGGGCCAGGTTCAGTGTCCAGCACCGGCCCCTGCAGCCCTGGGTGTGGCTGAGCCCCTGCCTGATGACGATGGGGACTGTCATCCCACGTGAAGTTAATGACCAGCACCTGGTGCCAGTCAAAGATGGGCCTCACACCCCTCCCTTCACTTTCGGGGTGATTTTGCACCCTGCCTTGCGATTAAGCATGTGCCCTTGTGCAGTTTAAATCATGACATTCAGGAGAAAGCCATGCTTAGCACTGCCACCGAGCTTCAGATTAGGAGACGCTGGGCTTTGTGTCCCCAGGGGGCTGGGGAGGCCCTGGCTGGGAGGCGTGGGAGGGGCCCCTGGAGCCTGACTGGCTTTTTCTCTCCGCCCCAGATGCCGATGGGGGTCCCCGCAGGGAAGTCGGTGCTGGCGCTACTCGCCTTCTGGGCCCTGGCCTCGTGCTGCTTTGCTGCTTACCGCCCCAGTGAGACTCTGTGTGGCGGGGAGCTGGTGGACACCCTCCAGTTCGTGTGTGGGGACCGCGGCTTTTACTTCAGTAAGTGGCTCTGAGCGGGGCGGGGCGGGGCGGGGCGGGGCGCGGGCCGCAGGTGCTTGGGGAATGCTGGAGTTTTCCTCCCTGCTCCTCACAAACCTGGGCAGGGCTCTGGACACCTGGCGTGAGGGCCGGGCTTGGCCACACTGCCCCCATGCCTTTTCTTTGAGCCCCCGAGCCCTTTGTGAGCACAGTTATGGGGCATTGTGCCCGGAGCTGCTCATGCTGCTGATTCTCCTACAGCATGACTCAAAATGGATCATAAAGTGCTTCCCTCCCAGGCCGGGTGGCATCTACATAGGGACCAGACTAGAGCAGGCGGGGAGCTGGAGGCAGGGCTTCTGACCCGTGACCCAGGCCCTTGCAGGGAGGCCGGGCTTGTCCTGACCTACTGCAGTGCCACTGAGGGCTGGGGTGTCTGGGCCCAGGGCAGATGGGATCTCTACCCAAGGGTGCCCACCTGCCAGCCTGAGAGGGCTTTGCTGCTCCTGTCACTTCTCCCCAGATGCCTATCCTGGGCTGGCCACCTGGCACACTGGGCTGTTTCTCCTTGCCCCTGTGCCAGACAGCAGAGCAGGACCCCCAGTTGGAGTTGATCTGCCCTTCAGGGGCCTGTGCCCGTGCCTGCACCTCCCAGCAAGCTGGGCCCGTTTCCTCCTCTGTAGGATGGGGCAGACGGTCCTAGGGAGTGCCCACCCAGTTGATGGAGGAGCTGGGGGCACACCCAGCCTGACTCCGAAGGTGGAGACTGTACTTCCCCTGGGCTCAGCCCCCTCTGTCAGTTCCCGGGAACCCAGACCCCTCACCACCCAGGACGGGTGGGGACATGGCTGGGGCAAGGCGGTGAGGGTCATAAATGTCAAACTTGGCCTTGCTCTGCCCAGGAGGCATCCTCCTCAGCAGACTCTACTTACCCTCCTTGCAATGGGCCTGCAGACGCCAGTCTTGGCATCTCAGAGGTTCTCTCTGAAAAGCATTTCTGCTTCTGGACGCTTCTGAAGCTCCTGCCCACCCTGGCCTCGCGTGCCCTCTCTTCGTGGCCTTGTTTGGGGGCAGGAAGGGGCACTGTAGGGTCTGGTGCCGGCTGGCTCTTGCCTGGGGAGCGGCTCGCCCTCACCAGGCTTCCTTGAAAGGAGGGCCAGGCCGAGCCCCGACCCCTGGGGCCCCGTGATGAGCCCCTTACTGGGGGCTCTTCCCTCCCCCGCTGGGGCGCGGTCCGGAGCCTGAGCACGTGGAGGGGAGGAGGAGGACGGGAGGGGAGGAGGGCGCGGTGCTGCAGGGTCCTCACTCCTCTCCTCCCGTCTTCTTCTTCTGCCCCCTAGTCCCACCTGTTGGCCGCGTCTCAGGGGCTGTGGGCCGTCAAGGGCCTGGGTCATTTTAGGGGTAGCACCTGTTCTCAGGAGGCCCTGGAGCTGGGCTCGCACCCTGAATGTTTTCCAAACCATGGGGCCAGGAGGTCAGGGGTCCCCGAGCACGCCTGCCCACCTTCACTGTCTCCTTCCTGGGGCGCCCTGTCCGCCCAGCTCTCGCTGCTCCACCTCACACCATGAGGCTGGCTGTCCCTGCGGGGCGATGGAGGGTCCTGTGAGGCCTGTCCTGAGGGCAGGGTGCTTCTCTCCTCCCCTGCCTCCCCTGGGGGGCCCGGGTCTGGCTAGAGACCCCCTCTCCAGGGAGGCTGCCTGGGGCCTGGCTCCGGGGCTCAAGTGCGGCTCTCTCCCCCGTGTGGGACTTCCAGGCCGGCCGGCAAGCCGCGTGAGCCGCCGCAGCCGTGGCATCGTGGAAGAATGCTGTTTCCGCAGCTGTGACCTGGCCCTTCTGGAGACCTACTGCGCTACCCCCGTCAAGTCCGAGAGGGACGTGTCGACCCCTCCGACCGTGCTCCCGGTAAGCTGGGCATCCCGCCTCCGGGCTTGCAGCTCCGGTCCAGCAGGGTGGCTGACCGCTGGGAGGAAAACCCTCCCCACTCTGGAGCCCCTTAGGGCTGTCACCTCTGATAGGCGACCAGGGCACAGCCAGCTCCTTAGCTAGAGTGACTCACACATTTGCCACCTGTCCCCACACTGCGGACGCTGGCCAGTAGCTGGGCCAAGTGTGTTATCCTTGCATACATGTTAGCAGGCACCATGAAAGGTTTGGGGACAAACCCCCACCGTGAGTCATCGAGAGGTCCACACAGGAGGGTGGGCAGCTTGGGGGCAGGAGCTGGGCAGCCAGGCCTGCCCTTGACTGGCCCTTCACTCCTCAGGACAACTTCCCCAGATACCCTGTGGGCAAGGTCTTCCAATATGACGCCTGGAAGCAGTCAACTCAACGCCTGCGCAGGGGCCTGCCGGCTCTCCTGCGTGCCCACCAGGGTCATATGCTCACCATGGAGCTCCAAGCGTTCAGAGAGGCCAAGCGCCACAACCCAGTGGCCGCCCTGCCGGCCCAGCACCCCACTGCCCACGGGGCCGCCTCTCCCGAGGTGTCCGGCAATCAGAAGTGAGACAAATTGTCGTGATTCTGTGAGATGGCACCGTCCACCTTGTGCCCTTCTCTTGACCAGGGGCCTTTCCACCAGGTCATGCCTCTGAAACCGCTTTGTACCGTCTTCCCTCAGCGGGCTCCCCGACACTACCCCCGGGCCCCCACCCCCCCAGGTCAGGCTGTTCTCTCTTCTGCCCCCTTCATCGGGCAGAGGGAATCTTAGCAACATCTTTAAAGACGTACAAACCAATTGACTTTAAACGACCCCCAAATTACACAACGAAAATTCAAAACCATGCCCCCTGGAATCACATACACACCAGCCCCCTTAAAACTAACTGGCTTTTTAGAAACACCAGGAAAGCTAATTATTGTAAAGAAAAAAAAAAACCCTGAAAAATCCAATTGGCTGAAAAAATACTAAATATGATTTGGCTTAAAAACAATTGGCAAAATAAAATAATTTACAGTACCCCTGCCTTCCTTCTCTTCCCCTCGGACCTCAAGTCAAATTGACACAGGCTTCAGTTCCGGGCTATCCAGGAGGAAGGAAGGAACCCCAAAACCTGCTAAGTAGGCATGTCTTTGCTCCTCAGCCACCTCCCTCCTCAGGCGGACACCTTTGGTGTGACTGGCCATTCCCAGGACAGCCAACCCGAACTCATTCTTCCCTCGGCTTCCCGTCCCTGACAGTCACCCTGGTGCTGATTGGGGGAACCCAGTGAGCCCGAAGCGGGGGAAGTGGAGCATGAAAGCTAAAATCCCTGCAAATAAAATTTGTGTTTGGCAGAAACCCCACATACCCTAAAATCCATCTTCCCTACCGAAACCCACACCCCCAGCCCCAGCATCCTACATCTCAGTCCCCACCTGGGATGCGCCTGAGGGTGGCAGGGTGTGCGTTCTAGGCTGAGGTGATCTTCCATCTTTCCAGGGTGAGGGAGGTGCCCCCTCCTTCTTGGGGCCTGTCCTCACATTCCCCGAAGCACGAACCCTGATGCCCCCAGACGCATCCCATCACCGTGTAGAGCAAGGGACAGGTTTGGCCAGACAGGAGGTGGCATGACCGAGCAAGACACGCCTTACTGGCCCCTTGGTGTGCCCCTGTGAGACAGGTCTGGGGACCCCCCCCCCACCCCGAGCACACCCGGGGATTGTCTGGGCCAGCCTCCCGGAATGCCTACCAGGAGTGGGGGCCCCCAGGAGGCTGGCTGAGATGATGGGGAGCGTGGGAAGTCTGGCGGCCAGAGGGGTGGGTGGGGGGTAGTAGGGGCTGAGTGGGGGCGCTCTGGGGAAGGACGTGGACCATGGAGGTTTGGAGCAGAGAAGTCTGGAGGAGTGAGTGATGCTCGCAGAATTAGAGAAATCAGGGCTCCAAATTGACGCCAATTATCTATTGCCCCTCTTTAATTGGTTTCTCCTGGGGCTTTTTTCCTTTTTTTTTTTTGTGGATCCCTCCTTAGCTTTTCACGCGCTCATAAACCAAATTAAACTTACCCCTGTCCCTGTAATGGGGAGCAGTGACAAGGCAAGGGCACAAAGCCAACCTCGCGCCTCTGCGCGGAGCCGCACGTCCTGCTTTCTGCCATTTATCACCCTCGATTCGGTTTTTGTTTTCATCTGTCCCTGTCGCTTGGGTTGAGCTGAGAGTGACCTCTGTGGGGCCTGAATACTGTGCCCCACGGAGAAGTCAGGGGAATAGAGATGACTGCTGCCTGGCCTGGCTTCCAGGAACAGTGGCTGGTCCCCAGGGGTCATGGGGGTGGAGGAGGGGCACAGTGGCCTCTCCTCAGGTATCAGGAAGGTGCATAGAGGCCACTAGAATGGAGCCCCAGCTCACCTGAGGCCGGCCGGGGTCAGGGAGGGGGCCGTAGAAGTGTGAGCAGAAGGGCTCCCTCCATCAGGCCAGAGCAGGCGGTCCCCTTCCAAGCACTTGGGGAGTCCACCACCAGCCCTTTGGTGACATCTTGCCTGCCTCTTCAGTACCCTGCCTTACCCCCAGGAGGCGTGGAGCTCCGCTGGGCCTCCTGGGGGCCGGGGGTGTGAGGTCGGGGAGGAGCAGAGGCCAGGAGGGCACCAGCCACGCAGAGCAAGAGAACTGCCAGGTTGGCCCATCAACTGGGCTCTCTGGGGCCCCAAGGCCCACAGGTCTGGTGATACCAAATCGCTACCACCTTGGTACCTAGGGCTGCAGCAGGGACCCCAGCGGCTGGGAGGTCTACCTCACCCCCACTTCTGCCCCCAGCACAGTCCCCTTGCACAGCAGCCTGGGGGCTCAAGGCACCTGGGCCCTGGTGATGGGGCTGGCATGACCCCGGGGGCGGTCCAGCCAGCCCGCCTGCAGCACAGAGGGTCCCTTGGCAAGAACCTGGGCAAGGGGCCATTCAGACCATTGCATAGAAGGCCAAAGAGGCAGATTGTCCTCGTTGGAGAGCCCAGAGAGGCCAGCCTGAGATCCAGAAAGACGTGCCCCGAATTGCATACCTGTTCAGATGGATGCCCATCCCGCCCAGGGTTACGTTCGGCCTCACCAGGGATGGGGGTACTCAGGGCATCTGCTGATGCTCCTGTGTCCCTCAGTGAGCAGTTCCCTGCCAGCCATCTGCCATCTGATCCGGGCTGCCCTTCTGGTCTCCCGTGCCCTGGTGTGGCCATCCATCCGGTCTCTTCCCCAAGTCTCCCCCAAAGTGTCTTAAGCAGGACCCCTCTTGAGTCCCTCCTTGTACCATCACCTGAAGACACCCACATGCCAAGAAAAGAACGTCACCTGCCTCTGTCCCCCCCATCTGGCAGTGGCCCAGGTTGGCCTCCACTCGACCCCTTTAACATGCTGATATTTCTGGCAAAATCCATTGCTTGGGTTTTGTCTTTAACCTTGAACGCTCGCAATCCCAATAAAGCATTCAAACTTACTTTGTTCTGACTCCCGCTTCTTTATGGGGTCGAGGGAGGCTGGGCTGGAAGGTCTGGATCCTTGGGAGCGACAGGGCAGGTGGGCCGGAGGGGAGGGAGCCCTGGAGGTGCACACACCCCTTCTGCCCCCATCTCCGCACACAGTGCACTGAGAATAGCCCAAAAGCCTGTGCGCCGGCTCCCAGTGGTGACAGTGGCCATTGTGTGGAGCCACGACCTCTGGGACAACTCAGCTCTCAGATTCTCCAAGACGGGGTGCCCCTGGGGCAGGAGAGCTCTCTGAGGAGAAGTAAATTGCCTTTGTGGGGGCTGGGGGCTGCCCAGGCTCTGAAAGGATGGAAACCGGCTGTTGCTGGAGATGGGGGGTCACGTCAGCTGCACCTCCACCTGCAGGCACAGGCACGCTCACCACCCAAGGTCGAAGCCGTGGCCCAGGCCCACCCTGATCTGACCTTCAGGTTCCTGAGCTGGGCGGATGCCCCCAAGTCTGGCGTCCACATCCACCATGCCTGAGGTCTGGTCCCGCCTCCCCACTGGCAGGCATGCCGTGCTGGGGAGCGGGGCCCTTGGGGGTGGGGGCTGAGGAAGCAGGGTCTGTGCCTGGGGGCCGACCTGGGTCTCCCGCCCTAAGCCCAATTTCCTTCCATCTCCAGAATTTCTTGCGGGCCTGGTGCTGGGCCGTGACCATCTCCAAGCCAGTCCTGGGGGTCTGGAGAGGCATCCACAAGGAGCTACTGACCACACTCACTGAGAACTAACCCAAGTAGGGAGGCTGGGGGGTTGCCTGGGGGTGGCAGGGTCAGCCTCCGAGGGTGAGGAAAATGGCAAAGAGCAAGGTGGGTGGGGGCAATGTGCCCCTCTTGGGGCAGCCAGGGGCCTGACAGGCAGGGCAGAGTGCCAGACCTATCCCCTAAGGAGCCACAGGGGTACACCTCGTGAGGGTCAGCACCCTCTGCCCCAGCCCTGCTCACACATTTCCCAGCGACCCCATGCGAGCCCTGCTCGGCGTGCCCTCCTGGACCCTTCAAACCCTGGTGCTCCCCGCAGCTCTGGGCAGCCCATGCTCACTCCAGCTGCCCCACTGGCCTCACCCAGAGTCACCACACCCATCCGCACCCGGCTTTCCCCAAGACCCCCAGCAGCCAAGGGCACAGCCAGCCCCTGCCGGAGCTCTCCTGCAGCCTGGACCCTTCCCACAGTGCCCCCGAGCCCCAGGTGCTGCTGGCCTGCCCTGTCTCCGCCCCTCTTCCCCCTGTCCTGCTGCTGGGCACCCTCTCGGCTTGTCCCTGGGCTCCACTCACTCATGCATCCATCCATTTATTCACGGGATGAGCGTCTCCACATGTGGCCGGCCTGGCTCAGTGTCATGGGGCAATGTCGGGGTGCCCTCAAGCTGAGGGCCTCAGGGAGCAGGTGACCCATATGCAGGCCTGGAGGGCGGTGGGGCCTCCTAGAGGAGGGATGAAGGAGGCCCCAAGGAGTCCGGGGTGGGGGGTGGAGGGTGGGATGCAGCAGGGGGAGGGGCCCGTGTGGGAGATGGGGTGTGATGGGGTCTCTGCTGCCCTTTGTCATTCATTCAACAAACATTCATGGACCCTACAATCGAGGGCTGAACAGTGTTCCCACCAAAAAGGACATGTGGTGGGCTGAACAGAGGCTCCCAAAAGGCATGTGCACGTCCTCACCCCCAGAACCATGGATGGGACCTTGTCTGGGAGAAGGGACTTTGCAAATGGGATCAAGTGTAGGATCTGAGACCAGGTCCTGCTGGCTTTGGGGGGGCCTAAGTCCTACGACAGGTGTCCCTGGAGAGGAGGGGAGGAGAAGGGCACACGGATGAGGCCATGTGACAGCGGAGCAGAGCCCGGGGGACCCGACCACAGCCCAGGGATGAACGCTGGTGTCCCAGAAGCTGGGGGAGGTGGGCAGGGTCCTCCCTGGAGTCTCTGGAGCAGCCAGCCTGTGACCCCAAGACTTCAGTCCAGTGAGACTGGTCTCGGACTCACCTCTAGGACAGGGGGGATGCATTTCTGCTGGGTGAAGCCTCCCAGTTCATGGTCACCCAGGAAACTAAGTGTGTGAGGCTCCATCACAGGTGCAGAGGGCACTGCAGGGAGCCAAGCAGGTGGTAAGGCCACCCCTGAGCTTCTGGGCCAGGTGCTTGTCCCCCACCTCCCACCTGGATGTTCTCGCCCATGTCCACTCCTGACCTTCCCATGGAGCCAAGGTGGTCTTTCAAGATGTCAGAGGAGGTCCCACGTCTGCTCTGTTTCCCTGGAGACAAGTGGGGTCCTCACTGTGACCCCCTGGTCCCAGTGCACATGGGTGTGTTCCTGCCTCAGGGCCTTTGCGGGGGCTGCCCCTGCCTGGACCACCTTGCCCGCAGACATCTGCCTGGGTCCCTCTCATCAACTCAAACTCTGCTGAGCTGCTCCCTCTCACGAGGACAATCCCTGTTTATGTGTCCCCCAGCTGTGTGCTGGGTGAGAGGATAAGGGGAGGGCAGTGGGGGCGGAGCTGTGGCTTGGCTGTGAGCAACTGGAAGGGGAGGTGCCACTGCTGAGCTACAGACCCTGGGCTTGGTCCCCTGCAACTGACACCGCTTGGGTCTCCATCTGGCGTTTTCACCTGGGCTGCCACATGGCACCTGTTGTGGCCTCCTCAGCCCCTTCTATGTCCTGCAGACCCTTGACCCAGTGTACCTGTGCCACTCCAGGGCCCTCTGACTCCAGCCCCGGACACTGCTGCCCTCTGGCCCACAGCCCACCCCCCAGGCTCCTCCGTGGCTCCCGCGGGCTACCAGGTAGCACGCAAACCCCAGGCCAGGCTCTCCTGGGGTCTTCAGTGCCTAGCCCCCCGAGTCCTCGTGGTGTTGGGGTCGTCCCCCAGCCCCAGGCTTCACTCCCGCTGGCTGCTCTCTCTCCTGGGTCCCTGGCATCCTCTCTGACTCACCCTGTCAGTCATCTCAGGAGTCTCCCCCCGATGTGGATGCCGGTCTGGCATTCAGCCCTTGCCTCTGTCCCCCGCCCCCCAGACATGACAGTGACCCCAGGGGCATTGTCATGCCCACATCGGGTCCTCCCAAGCTCGCCGCACTCTGAGAGGCCCACAGCGCGGAGCTGGCCAGGGAGAAGGTCCCGGAGGTGCACAGGGGACCCCATCACGCCCGCCCCTGGGGCCCCTCGCCCCCTAGCCCCTCTGCTCTCCCTCTCCTTCCAGAGAGAGAACCCCGTCCTCCCCGAGCCTCCTCGCCTTGGTGGGCTCACCTGGCCCTCACCGAGCCGTGCGCACCTGCCTGGCTGGGCCTGGCTCCCAGCTGGTGCCCGTGCCCAGGTGTGGCCGCGCTCAGGGGCCACGGGGGCCTGGTTTCTCCCTGCCCAGCCCCCTCCGGCTGGAGGCAGGCCGTGGCCTCAGGCCTCATTAGAGCGGCCTCCAGCTCTCCCTGCACAGCCCCAGCCAGCGCAGGCCTCAGCGGGCCAGAAACCGAAGAGAAAATGCCTGTTTATGCCAGCTATGCCGAAAGCAAAACAGTTTGTGGTTTGTGACCCAAATTTTTTGCCTTTTTTTTTCGGAACATAACAAAGCTCAAGACAACTCCCTCCCCCACCCCCCCAGGCAGACAGAACTGATCTGTTTACACTGGCTGCGAAGCATTCCTGCCTGCCAGCCCAGCCCTCTCCCCTGGGCCGTGCCCCCCATGCTGGGCGGCCTCCCAGGAGGGTGTGGGGCCTGGCCAATCGGGGACAGGCAAGCTGGGTGTCAGGAGGGCGGCTTCCCCGGGGTGCTGGTGACTGGGGCCTGCTGGGGGTGGGAGTACTGGAGTGCCTCTCCATCTAGTTGGAGGGGGATCCCCTATGGCCCCAGATGGGAAAAGGTGGGGAGACATCACCCCCAGATGCCCCCTTTAAGGGAGCCCCCACCCAAGGCTGTCCTTGGCCTCACAGCCCCCACCTCTCACACACACACATGGGTGAGAGGCCTAGATCCCTGGGCCCTCGGCCACCTGCCTGCCTTCCTCCCTGAGCACTGCCCACCTTCTCCCATCCCTAACCCACGCTAACACCCAAGGCCCACATCTCCTCTCTCAGCTCAGCGGTGGGGCCCACTGGGGGTGCGCATGCTCTGCCCTGGGGGCTGGTCTCCAGAAAAGCCAGTGCCTGTGGGGTAGCAGGTGCAGAGCTTGGTTGTCCCGGCCCAGACTCAAGGAGAACAAGGGGGTCTCCTCTCTCCCAGGCCCAGCCGGCCGGACACATGCTGGAGCCCAGTGGCAGGGGCAGGAGAGGGACTGAGTCCCTCCCCACAGAGACTGCCCCCCCCAGGCCTGGTCCGCGCTGTCACGTGCAGAGTCCCTCCTCAGCCTCCCTTGCCCCTCCGCTGTCTCCGCACATCCTCCGATCCCTCTCCTTCCCCTGTGCTCCAGCCTCCATTCCTGAGCTGGTGGATGCTGGGAGCCAGAGCCCAAGAAGGGGTGCCTGGGCCAAGGGCACTGGTGACAGGGGGTGTAGATCCTCAAACTCACCGGCGGGTGTGAGGTAAAGGCTCCTGGAAGTCTTTGTACCCGAGGAAGACCGCCAGTCGGGGAGACACCCATGGCATTCGGCGCGTGCAGAAGCTGGCTGAGGAGAGGGGCTGGAAGGGCACTGCCGGCAGGAGGAACACCATGGGTGGCCCTGGAGTGCCCTGCCCTTCTGCATGAGCAAAGCACAGGTGTGAGTTTGTGGAGGGGCACACAAAGCAGGAGGGGCCCTGAGTGCTGAGCCAAGAAGCTGCACTTGACCCTCAGAGCTCTGGGAAGCAGGGGAGGATTTTCAAGGGGAGAGTGAGCCAGCTCAAACGCGGTTCTAGAAGGATGGTCCAAGCTGGGGTGAACTGGAGCCTGGAGGTTAGAAGGGGTGTTTGGGGTGGAGGGGCCAAAGCAGGGGGAGGCACACCAGCTGGGAAGAGCTCAGTGTGGCCCAGTGTGCGGGGTGGGGGCTTTCTGCCCCTCCCCAACCCCAGT